GTCTGCATCCTTCAGAGCAGCATTCAGCTGCTTGTATGAAAAGCTTCTGATTAGTTTTAACACAGACTGGTTCTGCTGTCAGCTGGAGGTCTCGATCTCACTCGCTGCGAATCTAGAATGCTGAATTTCTCAAAATAGTCATGAGAATTATGCCAGGGATTGATTATAACAGTACTCTGGATTAGTTACTCTGTATCTCAGCAGTAAGTGCTCACAAATGGATTTCATCCACGTTAGTAACCACATCTTTGTTTATGTTAAATCCATATCCATAAATGCAGGATGAGCATAGGGACTCCTGAGTGACATGATGGCACTGAGAATCAATAAATGAATTATCAGACCTTATAAATAAACAGCCTTTGGCACTGATCCAGTTTTTCGGCAGTAAGCGGATCAGTCTTGGCAGCTTTTGCAGTTATTAAAAATCCCCAGAGAGAAAACTGACATGTACAGGTCAATGTTAATTTTGACAGCAAATTTTTATTAAGATTTAGTCATAGCCTTTTGACTAAAATGCCATTTAGTTTTAGTCATATTATAAAAAGCTGAGGCAGGTCATGACCCCTTTAAAGGGGACTGAGGCGTCATTTTCCTACGTACAAGGTTTCTTGTATCTTATTCGATAAATGTCTCTATTTTTCATATCCACTTCGTCTTTCGTCTGAAAGTGCAGCTGAACAGGACGTGATTCAGATTGTATTGTGCCATCTTTAATATTATGTGAAAACTTTCTGAAATATTTTGTGGACAAAATAGCTGTTCTTAGTTTTCCACCCATCATGGGTATCAGTGACTCCCCTGATTTCTCCTTTTGCCCAGCTGTCTTCCAGCAGTTTGAGCCGGTTACATTCTCTTATCTTTCTGGCATAGTTAAACAGCTACGATGGATCCTTCAATTTTGTCTAATTTTAGACCTATATCTAAACTCCCCTTTTTATCGAAAGTCTTGGAGAGAATTGTTTTTAATCAACTTCAATCATTTCTAGATGAATTTAGTATTTATGAAAAATTTCAGTCCGGTTTTAAGCCCCGTCACAGTACTGAAACTGCTCTTTTAAGAGTTTCTAATGATCTTCTTTTAGCTGTGGACTCTGGTGACTCTGCTGTTTTAGTCCTTTTGGATTTAATTGCGGCCTTTGATACGGTCAACCACTCAATTCTTTTATCTAGACAAGAACAGTGTGTCGGCATTAAGGGCATAGCCCTTAAATGGTTTCAACTGTATTTGACAGACATATTTTTTTCTTTTCACCTTGGTGAATTTTCTTCATCTGCTGCCCCTCTTAGCTGAGAGGATATTGCCTTTTCTAGTATTTTTGACTGGGGATTTAAGTGCCTGTGTAGATGCTCTTTGTAATTTAGGATTGTATGTTCGTGCATTTACCAAGAATCTCTGGTGTGATTTTCAACAGTCCAATAAAAAGGCAAGCCCTACTTGCCATCTAAGGAGTTTGAAAGTGTAATTCATGCTTTTATAACATCTAGACTAGACTACTGTAACTCTTTATATGTTGGTTTGGATCAGTCATCTCTTCAACGCTTACTGTTAGTCCAAAATGCAGCAACTCGGCTTCTAACTGGGACTAATACCCCTGTCTTAGCTTCACTACACTGGCTTCCTGTCCGCTTCAGGATTGAATTCAAGATTTTATTGTTTGTTTTTAAGATTTTAAATGGCTTGGCGCCTATTTATCAGAGCTTTTACATGTCCACACTCCTGTTAAAGCACTGAGGTCGTCCAATCAGGTGCTCCTCGATGTTCCGAAAAACCAGGTTAAAAAATAAAGGTGACCGAGCTTTTTCAGTTGTGACACCTAATTTGTGAAGTAGTTTACCTGTACAGATAAAAACTGCTCAGACTGTTGGAATTTTTAAGTCGTTACTTAAGACACACCTGTATTCCTTGGCTTTTATTTCGAGCTGAGCTGAGACATTGTAATGCTTTTACTGTATTTGTCTTGTTTGTGTGTGAGTTTTTCCGGACAGTGTTAAACACTTTGGTCAACCATGGTTGTTTTTAAATGTGCTATATAAATAAAATTGAACTGAGACATATGACGGTGGACTCTGATAATTTGTTTCCCCAAAGACAACAAATCCATTCATAGACAGCATTGACTCACTAAAGTTGGCAACGAACAGGTTTTCAACTTCACAAATTCATTATTGGCATTCAATAATGACAAATCAATGGAATTAAAAAAAAAATTCGCAAGGTTACAGTCGTTCCGAGAGCCAGGTTAAAAACTAAAGGTGACCGAGCTTTTTCAGTGGTGGCACCTAATTTGTGAAATAGTTTACCTGTACACATAAAAACTGCTCAGACTGTTGGAATTTTACAGTTTCATCGCTGGCCCCTCTTGAGCACTGGAATTCGTCCTTTCATTACGACGAGCCCAGAAAACACACAATCCTTTCCATGGAATTTCAGACGCTAATGAATTTCAAACGCTAATGCTAACTTCCATGTTCCAATCGCGCCCCATCACCGCCACTTCCTATGATTCCATTTCGAAGGGAAAACATTTGAATTCAAAGTGCTCCCATTTGGTCTGGCTTTAGCACCAAGGGTCTTTACCAAGGTCGTTCAGGCAGCCCTTGCTCCCTTACAACACAAAGGCAGGTCTGGAAACTTTACTGATGATGGGCCGGTTGTACACCACAATAAGGGTTTATGTGGCTGCGATTTCAGTGCACAGCGGTCTCATAGATGGTTGCTCTATTGGGAACCATAAATTGGTGGTTGCTTTTTTAAAAGGTGTTAACCGGTTAAATCGATTGTAGAATCGTTATTCCACAGTGGGATCTTAGTATTGTTCTTGAAAATCTTTGTGTGTATCCGTTTGAGCCATTGCCATTAGCAGATATTAAATGGCTTTCTTTGAAAAACATTTTTTTTTAATGGCCATTTCGCTCTCTGTGGCTTCACAATGTTTACAGTGGCATCCAGAAGATTCCAAAGTGACGTTGTGGCTAAACCCGGCTTTTTTAAATTTATTAACACACCAGTGATATTGCCAGCATTTCACTCGGTAGACCTCGAGATGCGTCAAGAGCTTTGTCCTGTGAGATCCCTTTGTCTTTATGTGTATAGGACAGCTCCCTGGAGAACTACTGACCAGTTATTTGTTTGTTTTTCAGATCCTAATAAGGGGTTTCACTTCTGTACAGAGTCAGATTGTCCTTATTGGTAACTATAGAGTTATGTCGTAAAGGGACATGCATACCGCCAGAGCCTCTGGTCATTCGGGTCAACGAGAAGACTCTGAGGAAGTCATGACATTTAAGGAGGTATTTATAGACAGATATGTCATTAAGGTCACTATAGGTGACAGCTTTTATATTAGGCTCTCGACAAGGAGGAGGACAGGAAGATATTCTGCCCTCTGGCAGTCTTCTGCCAGTCAAAGAACCAAGGTTACATACGTAACCAACGTTCCGATTCTCTTTCAGTCATGAAAATGTCTTCACCTGCAGTGAGTCATTCACAAGCCGCAGGTGTTCAACTTACCTTCTTCATTACTGACAAACAAGGTTTTTGCCGGTTTGTTTTGAATATTGTATGTAATTATTTTTTTCATTCAGCACTTGTTTTGTTCTCTGTGTGCTTTAATTATTGCATTACTGTTTTACGGAGTAAGAACCACAAACCGATTCAGTCAGACCGTTACACTAATGGAAAAGATTAGACTCTAAACAGTGATTAATTCGCGATTCAGCATTATTATGTCTGATTCTAAACAAACGACAGAAAATATGGGGAACACAAAGAGATTGCTGAAATACCGTGCATTGAAATTGTTTCTCAGATCTTCTTTACTACGCAAGGATTTATCAGTAAAGTTTCACCGGGGCTTGTTATGATAAACTGATTCCTAATGCTTTCTATTGTGTGTGTGTGTGTGTGTGTGTGTTGTCTTCCATTTTAAAGTCAACAAGCCCATTCCACGTAGAATATCTGTGTGTGCAAAATAATTCATAGGGACTTTAATGAAAAGTAATTAATGCATAGTGCCACTGATTTTTAGTGACGATGTGCTTCTGTCACTACTATTGGTCTGAAAATCCATCTCAATAACAGATCAAGAATAGATCAGAACTAAGAATCTGAAATTATGAAATACACATAAATGCGATGACACCGTGAAGCTATATTTTAATATAAATCTACTCAAATATGATGGTATGGAGCTTGTTGACAGTCTCAAATGTAAGATAAACAGTGTGTTCAAATGGTTTTAACCCAGAAACTGAAATGAAACATGAATTGACCTCATTTGAGAAGACAGCTCTACTGATGCCTCTCTCCAGGCTTTGGATTAAAAGAAGTATAGAACACAAATACTTATGATTGACAGGATATTCACCGTATATGCGGCTTGAGAAGCGAAGGCATCGACTCATTGACTGAGTATCTGCAAAATGTTAATTATTTGACCAAAATAAGAGGGGTCATACAAAATGCATGTTATTTTTTATTTAGTACTGACCTGAATAAGATATTTCACATAAAAGACCACAAGAGAAAATAATAGCTGAATTAAAAAAAAAAAAGACCCCGTTCAAATGTTTACATTTGTATTTGATTCTTAATACTGTCAGTCCCTTGTTTTTCCTGAAAAGTGAATCTGCCCGCTGTTCTTCAGAAAAATTCTTTGGTTTTGTGTGTGTGTGTGTGTGTATGTGTGTGTGTGTGTGTGAGTGTGTGAGTGTGTGTGTGTGAGGTCCTGCGCTGCCATCTTTTCACACTGAGGACAACTGAGGGACTTACATGCAACTATTTCAAAAAGTTGATAGATGGTCAGTGTGATTGACAGATGATTTTCTAAAGAACTAGGTCATCTGAAGTTCTTTATGAGGTTCATCAGTTTTTCAGTTATTGCTCAGTAATCAGTGTGTAATGTGTGTTTTCAGAGTGTCCATCACCAGCAGATGGCATAACAGTGTTTGCAGGGCAGGGCAGCGGCTGATAGAGGAACTCACACCATCTACAACAAACATGAAGAACGTCTGAGTCCAAACTCACAGCAGATCAGCATCACATATACTGCATATATATATAAGTCACCATGACTGAGAGCTATCACACAGGTAAGACAGCATTTAACTTGAACTAAACTAAACTCTTATTACTGACAGACAGCTCTCTGTCTTCTATCAGCGTCTGTATTTCCATTTATTGTTTATTGGTAATGTTTTATTGATCTGCACTTTATATCAAAGCACCAGTAAGCAGAAAGACAGATTTAATGCAGGTTATAGATGATTAAAGTATATTTAACTACAGATTATTCTTTACTGTAACTGTAAAGTACTAAAACAAGATCTTATCTCTATTCTTATATCAATTATTATATTTTCAAATAATGCAAATGTCTTTTTGAGTTCTGTTGAAGTGAAGTTTGATGCCTGTTTGGTGCTGATGGATTTTATACGGAAATGTATATCTGTAGTCCAGGATCACTTCCACTCCCGTAACACCGCTGAAATATTATCTGACATACAGTCATCAGATGATCCGGTGTCAAATACTTTCATATCTCATATTTCATATTTCATATCTGCTGTTATGATTGCTTGTAGATCAGCTATTTTTTCTGTCCTCTGATCGCTGTGGTGTGTTTGGATGCTTGCAGCACTAAATCAGCCTCATGCTTGTGCCAAGAGAAACACGAGCACTCTTTTATCTTCACTTTCAACTCGAAATAGATCTTCTAATGAATCTGAAGATGCTCTTTGTTATTTACTATGACAGAAAATTGCTGTACACACACACACACACACACACACACACACGTGTGTTCAGAGGCCCCTCACGCAGGAGCCGGTGGCCCCCATGACAACAGATTTCCTGTTTCATAAAGCAGAACAGGAGTCCGTGCTCGTGAAGTGTGAAGCTCATTATTCCAGACGACTCTGATCTGGTCAATAATCTGTTTTAATGTTTATTTTGATGTTGTCATGTTGAGGATGAACTCACTGCTGGATGAGCTCATGTTTATGTTGAGCTGGATGTGAATCTGCAGAGACACGCTGATGTTTGATCAAACGTTCACTCGTGTGATTAATTGTGTCTCGTTTGGTTTTTCTCAGATTTGACGGCGGAGGAGCAGATGGAGATCGAGCAGCTGAAGATGCACAAGCAGATCCTGCTGGAGGACATTGGTTTAATCGGAACACATTTGCATGTATGAGCCATTGCCATGGCAACGCCTCGAGGAGACGGGCTCTCAAGACTTGTTTGTTTGGGCTGGTTAGTGTCACACCACTTAATAAACTATTCATCCCGACACAGACCGCTCTTCTTCATCATGTGTCACATCACTGTATGAAAGATGATCACGAGAGAGGATGAAATACATGCTACGGGATTTTTCAGCAACATTAAAGGATAGTTCACCCAAAAATGAACATTCTGTCATTGTTTACTCATCCTCAAGTTGCTCCAAACCTGTATGATAAAAGAAGATATTTTGAAGAATGTTGATATGCAAACAGTTGACAGCAGCCATTGACTTCCATAGTATTTTTTCCCCACACTATCAAGTCAATAGGGGACCGACAACTGTTTGCTTATCAACATTCTTCAAAATATTGTTCATGTTCAGCAGAAGAAAGAAACGTATACAGGTTTGAAACATCTTGAAAATAAGTAAACAATGACGGAATGATCTTTTTGGGTGAACTGTCTCTTTAAGGAGCCGTCGTGATGTTTTGTCCACTTCACTTTGAAATAAAGGTTACATATATATTTTTTAAATTAGCATTTTTGAGTGTTAGTATATACATGTACTTATTCTGTTCGACATAATATACAATTTATTGTGATGCATATTTTTGTAAAGTGTAAACGATTAAATGAGTTTATGTCCACCCTGTTACATTGGTGCTACTTGTCCTTTAAAATCTTAAGCGTGTGCCGTAAATCACATGACCTGCTAGAAGTGACATCATTTCCTTTGAGGGAATGTGAATCCAAGAATAAATGAAGTTTTAGTCATAAACTTTTCTCACTTTTCCTCATTTTTAGAAATCTTATCAATTAGCGTAAAACTCAACATGTCCACCCTGTTGAGTCAGTTTATAATGGAATTGAAAATGTTATACATCTATTAAATTTCTTGCTAAATCCTCTGATAGCCAGGTTTAAGCGTCCACCCTGTTACACACTGCAGTGTAGAAATGTCCTGTAACAGGGTGGACAGACTGAAATATTTGCTCAGGATTATTGGGTTATTGTTATAGTTTGAGGCCTGAGCTCCAGCAGTCTGTTTTTTTTATACACACATGCTTTAAACCTCTGATAAGACTGAAAAAGCACTGCATTTTAACATTTTTCACCTTATCTGATCAGTCAAAGGTGCACAAAACTGTAGGAATGACCCAGAATGCAGATGATTTTCTTTTTTAAATTGTTTGTTTATCGTTTTTTAATATAAAAAGCAAAACAAACAAAATGATAAAGATAAACTGGAATTGACAGTATCAGAGAGATAAAAAACTATACATTACACCTACATACACATACAGTTGTGGTCAAAAGTTTACATACACTTCGGAGTATCTGCAAAATGTTAATTATTTGACCAAAATAAGAGGGGTCATACAAAATGCATGTTATTTTTTATTTAGTACTGACCTGAATAAGATATTTCACATAAAAGACCACAAGAGAAAATAATAGCTGAATTAAAAAAAAAAAAGACCCCGTTCAAATGTTTACACACACACACACGCACGCACGCACGCACGCACACACACACACACATCTGATGTTTGGGTCATATGTCACCTCTCACAAAATCTCACAATTTTCTCACAAAGTGTATAACAGAAAAGCATGTCTTATGAAATGAGCTTTAGAAACCTGAATAGTGTTGCTTTCACACGACGATGTTTGAGTTAATCATTGGTTCTGAATCCTTAAAATGTTTTTCTTACAGAAACTAAAGAACCAGATTGAAAACGTCATGACAGATATCCAGGATTTCAAATCAGCAGAAGACAAGTGAGTGAATGTGTGAATGTTCAGCGTGTTTGTCTCATGATCAGAGAAAAAAACGCTTCACGGCTAACATTTGGACACTGAGGAACCACAGGAGAGAAACACAGTCAACATCATTCACTAACTAACCAACAATACTAACTAACTAACACAACACCGACCGCCTTCATCTCATCATCACTTACTGATTTAACAGTTCAAAACAGTGTTATTTTACTATTATTTTATTATTATTTATCTACTGCTATAGTTTTTATTCATATTTTGAGTTTTGATATTTTCATTTTAGTTACATAATTAGTCATTTTGTTACATGCTTTTGTCATTTTTATTTAAAATGACAAAATGTAGTTTTTTGTTACATTTTTATTATAAACTTTGTTGTTTTTTTGTTTTATTCTTCTGTTGTTGTTTTTTAAAAATATTACTATTTAGTGTCATTTATGTTTTTATTAGATTTTTAGATACAATTTTAGTTTTATTTCCATTTAGTATTTTTTCGTTATTTCAGTTAGCAGTCATGGCAACATTTCAAATGTTTGTTTAGTTTTTCATCTAATATTTATATATTATTTCAGCTCTATTTCAGTTAACAGGTTGGTTGAATCGTCTGTTAGATGTTCTGGTTGTGAAGTAGTTTTTTGTGTGACTCTTTCACAGTAAGATGCTGGAGAGGGAGAAACGCTTCTGTAGCGGCAAGAAGAAATTCAACATGCATCCTAAAAAGGTGAGATCTGGAGGATGATGATGATGATGATGTTTCCAGCGTGAGATGATGAGTGGAGCGTCTGTCCTCACTCTCACCACCTCTACACATTCATCTTACTTTACCATAAACCTTAGATCTGAGACAGAGAGACACGACTGAGACGTTCAGCCTGTGTGTGTGTGTGTGTGTGTGTGTGTGTGTGTGTGCAAAATGATAAAGATAAACTGGAATTGACAGTATCAGAGAGATAAAAAACTATACATTACACCTACATACACATACAGTTGTGGTCAAAAGTTTACATACACTTCGGAGTATCTGCAAAATGTTAATTATTTGACCAAAATAAGAGGGGTCATACAAAATGCATGTTATTTTTTATTTAGCACTGACCTGAATAAGATATTTCACATAAAAGACCACAAGAGAAAATAATAGCTGAATTAAAAAAAAAAAAGACCCCGTTCAAAAGTTTACATTTGTATTTGGTTCTTAATACTGTCAGTCCCTTGTTTTTCCTGAAAAGTGAATCTGCCCGCTGTTCTTCAGAAAAATCCTTCAGCTCCCACAAATTCTTTGGTTTTCCAGCATTTCATGTGTGTGTGTGTGACAGACGGAGTGACGTGGAGGATCTGAACACTCTAAGGTCAACACCTGAAATACTTTTGGTTTTTCTCGCTCTGAATCTTTGTGGTTTTGCTGCTGCACTTTAAAGAGCGAGACCACCATGAGCTGCTGCAGCCCTGAAGAGCTGAGAAGAGACGACAGAGAGAGAGACACGTCAATGTTTGAAGTTTGATCTCTGTGAGGTTAAGAGACAAGAGTGTTACCGCCACAAACACACTTAACAAATCTAACTAAACTACAGACAACACACACACATACACTGGGATCAGTAAGTCTCTTCTGCTCACCAAGCCTGCATTTATTTGATCCAAAATGCAGTAAAAATAGTAAAAATGTGAAATATTATTACAATTTAAAACGGCTGTTTTCTGTGTGAATATCTGTTAAACTGTAATTAATTTCTGTGATGAGCAGCTGTATTTTCAGCATCATTACTCCAGTCTTCAGTGTCACATGATCTTCAGAAATCATTCAATTTCTTATCTTTTTAATATAATATAATATAATATAATATAATATAATATAATATTGTTGGTGACCAAAGCTCAACCAGAGTAATAGTTTATCTGATTTTGTGTTGAGGGTTTTAGTCTTTCTTTATTCATTCTGCTGAAAAGGGAAGTTCAGGATTCACAGATGAATAGAAATTTCAAAAGAACAGCATTTATTTGAAATAGAAATCTTTTGTAACATTATAAATGTCTTTACTGACACTTTTGACCAATTTAATGCATCCTTGATGAATAAAAGTACTAATTTCTTATCTTTTTAATATAATATAATATAATATAATATAATATAATATAATATTGTTGGTGACCAAAGCTCAACCAGAGTAATAGTTTATCTGATTTTGTGTTGAGGGTTTTAGTCTTTCTTTATTCATTCTGCTGAAAAGGGAAGTGTGGGTTTGAAGGAAAATCTCTAAAAACAGATGTTGAACTCTGGAGGAACTGGTGTGGACGGAGCTGATAAACACACACACACACACAAGCTGCAGGTCAAATGAGCGTCTCTTCTGTGCTTTATCTCGGTCTGTGACAGTCACTGAACGGCTCAAACGGCTCTGTGTTTCAGGGAATCAAGTATCTGGTGGATAATGAGCTTCTGGATTGGAAACCAGAGCCAGTGGCTGAGTTTCTGTATAAAGAGGAAGGACTGAATAAGACCGCCATCGGAGACTTCCTAGGAGAGAGGTGACATATGACCCAAACATCAGATGTGTTTGTGTGTGTGTGTGTGTGAGTGTGTGTGTGTGTGTGTGTGTGTG